GACGAATGTTTTGTTGCGTTTCGAACGATACGTAATATTTAACGGCTGATAATCATTGTTACACAGATGTTTGATATTTGAGACGACTCGTAACGCTTGGATGTGATCTCATTGTCTTTTTGGATTTGGCTGGGCGAAAGATGTGAAACTGACATTTGAGCTGAAATAACGGAGATTCAAACTGTTTCCAACGCTATGAAAGATTATCAAATTGAAACGGTTCAAGCCAGCAGTTATATTACTGATTGTGTTCGGTGTTGTTCGTCATGCAATGATTCATCGAAAAAGCGACAGCAACTTGATTCATCCGCACTGATTGTACTCTTTCAACCCATCAAAACAATTTGTTACGCTTGATCGAATAAATTAACGTGAACGATTATACTAGAAGTGGATGCACAAATGTGAATGTCTGATCGATCGTGTTCAAATTAATTCGAGGGTAACACTGAACTGCTTGTATGTTAAAGTGTAATCACTGATAACTTTAACCTTCTTTGAAACACGTAGCACACAACCATCATTTCTTGTGTTTAAGTAATTCGGTGCCGAAAATATTGTCAAAAGGCGTCCACCGGCGAAGAATTTATGACCATATTTGACCATCTATGAATTGTTTTTTTTTGAATTANAGTGGGAAATGCTGAAGTAACGAAAGCGACTGAACAAGGTGCCTGTTTAGATCGGAAGCTTTTTTATAACTGAATTCAGATTATCAATTGTAAGCTGCATGATGCATATTGCAAAAATATTGTCTAATAAATGTAATATTTTCCACAAGTCGTCTTTCTTAACCTATGGACCGAAAAGATCTACTGGGGGAAGATCACAGAAAACACAGGAGAGAAGCTGCGTTATTGGGTGGTGAACGTTGCGAAATTTTCATTAGCTCAGACTTTAAGTTAACTAACTTCGCCCGTAAGTTGATGAGCCCTAACGACGAGATCGATATTATTTCTACGACAGAAATCTTTGACCACATTCTCACTGAATGTAAACGATATACCACGTTGACTCATCGACCATCCGTCGTGTTTATCGTCAGGATCTGACCAGACCAAGTCACACATCAGACCGAATGGAGGTATTATTGATGGTCGTTTTATCTGAATTTCAAGGAACCTTCAAAGTTAAGTCAACGTTTTAGAAGGATCATGAGTGGCACTTCAACGAAGGCTGACTCATTCAAACGTTCGGAGGAACTGAGTTGAATCACCGCAATCACAGGCTAACTATTAGAAGAACAGTTCAAGAATTGTTTCTGAGAGTTACGAAATAACCAGCGAATTCCAACTGATATGAAACAAACGGAGTTATGAGAAGCAATAGCGTTCAATGTAAATAACCTTATCGATATCATCAAATGCACCAAAAAATGGTGACAGTCCACCATGAACACAGAAAATTGCATTGTTGATCAGTGCTGCTAGTGGCAGCATATTAAACACATCAATGAATTTTCGCCATAACTGAAGTGTTTATCTCATCAAATTATTGCCTAGTATCGTTATCAAATAGAAAACACACGATAAATTAGGATATACAAAGTATTTTTCCTGATCAGCTGATAGCTCATATTCGAGTTTTACACTGATCATCGAATGGATACAGCAATATGACAAACAGACATGAAAAACGTACTCGATCGCCCTCTTTGTATGCATTGAACCTATTGACACATTCATCATAAAAGCCATACGACATTGAAGTATTACCATCTTCATGATTACCTCGTAACATGTATACTTGAGTCGGGTATTTGATTTTTAGACATAGTACCAACGAGATCGTCTCTAATCCCTGTAAAATCAGCTAAAGAGTAACTAACCGTCACCAATCTTACTTATAATGTGCTCAAAGATCTATGGCGAACATCATCAAAAATGACTGAAATCAAGAATGAAGTCAGCAAACGTGTACAACTGTCTGAATCAGAAGTGGTAGTGTGCTCGGTCTCACCTGAACTCCTCGATCGACATAATCCCCAAGGAACAAATATGTTTGCGTTTGTGGTGGTCCACAAGCATAGAATATGGTTCGAAGATCACGAAATTGACCATGTAAATCACCACACACCATTATTGGTAAGTCGTCACTTAAACGTAACTTAAGAAGTATATTTAGGCATTCCTAATCAATAGGGAAATCCGTAATATTACCAACAGATCGACCGTATCCATCGGAGACAATGATGACGCTCAATCGGAAGTAATGCTAATGACAATGATAAATGATTTACAAAAAAATTGATGATAAATGATTTACACATCGAGCCGAATCAATCCGTCTTGTTGCTTTAAGGATTTAATTGCTTCATCACATAATCGCATTAATTCGTCAAATTTCAAGTCTACTTTCATTATTGGCGCAGGTTCTGGTTCATTACTGCAATTCAGTACCTCAACTTTCTATCGACATCATGAGGTTTTGATAATTCCATTAAAACAACTATTAACTGCAAAAAAATTCAATGAAAACTGAAATATTTTGACTAATCGGGATCTGTTAATGATCTAGTCAGCGATTAAAGGAGTTTGACACAAAGAAAAAATAGTTCAAATTCGATAAAAGACAAAAACGATGAATTAAAAAAAATATGCGAACCGTTTAACTCTAGCGGGCATCAAAGGGTCACGGATTGGTTTAGCGGTCATAAGTCTTATGATGAGTTCATCGATGAACGGGTTAAACTCGATATCCTCAGATGGTACTTCGGTGTCTTTCTCCAGCGTTTCGGTCTCTTCACTAGATGAGGTTGATGTCGTCTCACTGTCATCGCTAATCGGATGTTGTTTTTGTGAATATGTTGATTCGTACTAAAAACTATGAAAACACAAATGAGCACAGTTCTAAGCAAAGGTAGACCAGCAACGAGGATTTTATCCAACATGATCGACATGACAGTGGATCGTCTCATGAATGATATAAGTAGGTGGACGTGATTATCCGTCATTCACCGTGCTCATGCTTATTATTCACACGCAGTGATTACAACCATGTCATTCCGTTCCAGCTCCCAGTCAGATCAATCAGTTTAAGATTCATTACCGATACTAGGGGATGGCTGCTTACGAAGTCAATCTGCATTAGTGATTCAAACGAGCAATCTGAGCGTTAAAAGATAAACCATAGTTATTACTTCATCCGGTTTTGTCATGGTTGCTTGACGAGAAACGCGAGCAACCACCCGAGGGAATGCTATAAAACAAACAGTGAGATCGCTGACTTCGATTCGGTTCTATCATTTGCAACAATTATGAATACTCGCAAATTCTTGCATATTCGCGTCAATTTCTCATAAATCAGCTTACATGAGAAAATACTTCATGAAAATTTCAAGCTAGAGGCTAATTGTGAGAATCATTTCGGAATAAGTGATGAAAGTATTTCATTTATTAGCACATTCATGGATAAAATTCAATGAAAAAATATTTTGCATCCAATGCGGATCCATGGAAAAAGTTGACGCTCTTCAACGGATGTGAAAGTGAATTATAGTCAGTCTGATGCCACTGTATTGCATTATTTTCGCGTTGGCATAGAGCGTGCAATGAAATTGTTTGCATGTTACACTTGCGCGATAGCCATTCGTGTGATTTGTTTGATGCGTTATGACCGATAATTTATAGAGTTTAGTCGTTATGACGGTTGAAATATATTTCACTCGGTTTTGTTATCGTTTGAAACATGCTTATTGTTGGTATATTTCGAAATGAGTGCTCTCGATTCCATTGCATATCTACACT